GACCACAAAGTAGAGGTTACACATGGTTACACCCTGTCTTAAGGGTCATGTCGCAACTTGGTTGTTGTCGAAACTTAAGGCTTTCCCTCATGTTCTCCTCAAGACTTAAGTAAGTCTGAGCCACGGGATCTTTGGTCAGCAGCTTGTCACTGCCCTTGATTAGAAGAACGTTGGTGATGGCCTGCTGGAGGCCATTGCGGAGGTGTTGTCCAAGCTGCTTCAAGTCCTCATCCTTCACAGTCTTGGCCTCATAGTGCTTGGCCAGGTCAGGCTGCGCCTTTCCAAGCTCAATGTCAATCAGGTCCATCATCGACTGGAACATCGGCCACTCTTTGTACATCTTCTGCAGCAGGGGGAGCTTCCCGTCATCGATGTACTTCTGCAGCGCCAAGCCGTTGCCGAGCCACACAGGGAGCAGCAAACGGGTCTGGGTCCAGGCGAAGATCCACGGGATGGCCCGGAGCGTGTCAATGCCGCCGTAGTTGCGGCGCTTGGCGGGCCGGCTGCCGATGTTCATCTGCCCCAGCTCAGAGGTGGGAGTGTAAGTGTGGAAGAAGCGCACGAAAATGTCGTTCTCGCTCTTGAAGACCGTCTTCTGGTACTCTGCCGCAGAAATATCTGCCAGCTCCTGCATGGCTGCTCGGAACTCCGGGCTAGGGAGCGGAGGAGGCGTCACGGTGTGCCTGAGCACAGCCGTTGCGTACCGCTCCAAAGTCCTTTCTGCCACCTCGGCGCTGGCGAAGTGCCGGCCAATTGTCTCTCCCTGGATGGTCAGGCGCAGGTGGCCACGTGCCAAGGATCCCTCCGGCTGAGCCAAAAGAGTGAGGTGGGGCGGTCCGCCTCCACGTCCGATGGAGCCGCCCCGGCCGTGGAAGAAAGTGACATCGACGCCATGCTTCTTGCCCACCTCTAGGATCTTCTCCATGGCCACGTGCAGCTCCCAGGTCGAAGCAAACTTGCCGGCATCCTTCACAGAGTCGGAGTAGCCCAGCATCACCTCCTGCTTGCCCTGAATGTGCTGTTTGTACCACGGCACGCTGAAGGCAGCATCAATCACCTTCGGGGCATTGATCAGATCGTCCCGGGTCTCGAAGAGCGGGCTCACGCGCATGAACTTCTTGACGCCTCCGATCTTCTGCAACAGGCACACAGCCAGGACATCGGAGGTGGCCCGCGACATTGAGATGCAGTAGGCGCCCAAGGCCTCAATAGGCAACTCTGCGATTGTCTTGTAAGTAGCAATGACTTCCTTGACAATGTCACTGCAGGGCAGGTCTTCAGGAAGCAGGGGTCTCTTGGACTCGATCTCCTTCACAAGCCAGTCGCACTTCTGCTGCTCCGTCCAAGATGTGTAGGAGCCGAGGCCAAGGTAGGTGGTTAAGGCATCCAAAGCCTCCGAGTGGCGGTCCGACTCCTGACGCACATCCAAGCAGGCCATGCTGATGCCGAAGGTGCGCACTCGGCGGATGAGATTCAAAAGCCGGCCATTGGCCACGACCTCATCGCCACCTTCCACAAGGGAGCGGTAGATGATCTCCAACGGCCGAGCCAGTTCGTCCACAGAGGTGATGACCTCCTTCTCGAAGTCGGGCTCAACTGGGCTGTCCATGTACATGGCCTCCATGGTCTTCTTGGTCCGCCAGCAACGCCTTCGGAGGGCCATCAGAAGCCTTCGGTAAGGCTCGTCCGCGGCCACGCCTGTGTGGAAGTTCCAGTGCACACCGCTGCGAGCGTCTGGACGGCAGACCTTGCCCCCGGGGACCGTCTCAGCGGACCACATGCTGCTCACTGCCTCGATCTCCCTCTGGAGCTCCTCTGAAGTCTCACCGGTCATGCTGAGCTCATAGAGGAGCTCATCCACTTCCTGGTAGTAGAGCTCCACAATGCGCCAGCGCAGCAAGGTGACGACCTGCTTCGTCGTTTGCCAAGTCACATTGGGGTTCCCATCGCGATCACCACCCATCCAACTGCTCATCTTGAAAAGCGACGCTCCATAGGGCAAGGGAGGCTGACCAATGCGCCTCAAGCAACGATCAATGCGGCGGTAGTACTCAGGCAGTGCCTTCCACACCGTATCCTCGATGACCAGCATCCCATTGCGAGCTTCCCCCTCCGGCGTGGGCCTAGTGCGTCGCACGGTGTTGGTGCGCCAGCAGCTCCACTGCACGGCCTTGATGTTGTCATCCAGGCCCTGCAGCTGCCCTGGTGTAAGCGTGTCCTTGCCATCATAGCTCTTCAGGTAGCCCAACATGTCCTCGTGTTTCTTCAATGCACTTCGCCTTTGGGCCTCGGTAGGGTGGGCAGTGAGCACCAGCTCGATCTTCTGGTTGCTCAAGGCCTCACGGATCGCTTCAGGCTTCACGCCCTGTCCAACCAATCTCTTCATCAGCCCTTTGAACGTAAGGCTGGCCAGGTCGTTGGCAGAGTCGTCCTCCTCAGAGACCGCCTGTTTAATTGTGCGGAGGCGATGGTGGGACTCGGCCAAGTCTGCCTGGAGCAAAGTGTCCATGAGAACTCGGCCTGCCACCTGGAGGTCGCTGGGCTCCATTGTTGCCACGTAGTCAGAAATCTTTGCGAAGACCTCCTGACCCTTTGACTTGTACTCCTGATCGGATCAAGCGCTACCGGGTCATGGGTTAGCAATGGTGACGGGTCCTACAGTCCTCAACCAGGTCCAGCAGAGTGATCACGCTCCTGGGCAAGATCGTCGGGCCCTCGGCCTCACCAGCTGCCTCGCCCGTCCACTTTGACCGCGGCGAGTCCACCCTGAGGCCATTTTACTGCCAAGCCCGGCTTTCCCGCAACATCATAACTGCTCCATGCCTTCGTGTTGTTTCAAAGCTTGCGTCATCATGGGCGAGGTGTTGCTTAACATTAGCCCAAGATGCTCTGTGAAGCGTCGAGTGTGCCCTTGATATCCAGATATGCTAGACCAACCCCCTTTCCCCCAGCACCTCTGCATGTCTTGGTCATGAGCACGGAGAACGGACATGAGGTGCTTGCGAAGGATGTCCTGAGTCGCCAGGTCGACGCACGCGCACACCGCTTCCGCGCAGCATGTGAATCCATTGACATCCATTGATTCATTGAGACTTACAGATCAACGGCACCCGGGAGAACACCCAAAAAGACAGCACATGCTATGTGTATATCCTTATCATGCTAGATCTAGCGCACTCATGCATGTCTTGCTGCATGGGACTGCATGGGTACGTAGAGAGCCCGTGGCCGGAAAAGATGCAAAATGGTGCGCAGGAGGCCAAGTCTCGAAGTCGCGATTCATGTCTGCGGGGGACGCCATGGCTGCTCTCAACACTGCAAGTCTACAGTATCAAGCTATTAAAAACCAAAACGGGCTCATGCAGGCATTGCATTGCTGGGATGTACCCGACACTCATACACAAAGGGGACTTCAACAGTCGTCAAGGGGCCCGCTTTCGGCTCGTCTCTTTAGGCACTGGTAATACTGGGTCGGGTTCCAGACCCCTATCCCCGCTGAGACACCACTTGGCTGGGTCACTGTATGTCTCCGTTGCCTCTCCAGGGCCGCGTACTCAGACTCCAGGGCCGCTGCGAGGGCTCGGTAAAGCGTCCTCACGGAATCGAAAGCCATTTCGATTGCCCATTCGGCTGCCAAAACACAAACTGTAGGTACATGGCTATAATTTAACGCAGGGAATTCTAGATGATGCCAGGCCATGTATCTCTTAAGCTAATTTGGGCTTAGATAAAGATCTTGGCAACGCATACTCTTCCCAGACGGCCTGCTGTTTCCCCAATCCCAGAGTTTCGTTCCTGTTGCGGCACAGGTCTGTGCGGTGACCGCCCCAGGCGTTGAACCGCCGGAAGCCTGATTGGGCTTGGGTTGGTCAGCGACGGTTGCAGCCCCATAACTGCTGCAAAGGCCTGAGTCTTTGCATTCGTGATTTCAAGAGCCTGGTCGCAGTTATGAGGACACTTCGAAGCACATGAGCGACCTGCAAAACTCATGTGCAACAGCTGATGCAAGGTCGTGTAAAATTACTGTACTTAGGTTTTGGATGGTTTTGGTGGATCCTTGCTGACAGTGGCCGATTGCTTTGCATGCCTATCGCTGACAACGCTAGGAATTTGGTCTGCTATCATGACAAGCGTCAACTCCATCACTTGAACCCAAGATCTGGAAGCCTAACCTCTAACAAATGCAAAGCCTGGACTTTGCCCTCAAACCTTGTCCCTTTTCCTCCATGGTATCCTAGACCCCTTGCTCAAGGCCAAACATACAGGCTTCTTTGCTTTGCCTCCAGTGGGCTCCACGGGCACTGCCCCCAAGAAGGCCGCGGCACCCTGAAAGAAGAGCCGGGGCGCCTTTGGGAGATTCTACTTTTGCGCTGGAGGGCCTATCAGAGACCGGGCCGATAGGGAAGGG